CTTGTTCTTCCCCCGCTTTACCGCAGAGACTTGAGGCTTCATATTAGTCTGTTCTTCAAGTGAAGATGTAACATGGTTATGGTTTGCGACAGCCTCGGAATCTGTACAAAACCTTACGGTCCTCGCCTGACGTAAAGGCGCATCTGCTGACAAGGGTTGTTTCCTGGACTTCCCTCCACTGTACGCCTTCTTGTCCTTTGCTTGCTTTACTTTAGAGCCTGTGTGCTTTACCTTAATCGGTTCTTCAACTGACGATGTGTCATGATTCTGGGTTGGGACAGGTTCTGAATCTGCACAGACATTAGCAGACCTCATTCGATTAGAACGCAAAACTACCGTTTCCTTTTCTTGATCCAGTGGTTTCACAAGAGGTAAGACGGGCACATGATTGGTCAGAATTAAACTGGGCATGACTTTCCCTTTGTCGTTTTCTTTGACCGGTAGAGTAGGCGCAGGAGAATCCACATTGGCGACTGAAAATAAAAATGGTGTGACCCTCTCCTTCAATTTCGTTTTCGTCATGCTTTTACACACCGACGCGCTGCCAGCAGAGTCCGCCTGAAAACGGCGAGTTAGCGGCCGCATGACCTCTCTGTTCGCGTTGCCTTCACTGAACAATTTAACTTGCGTCTTTGTTCGTTTGTCAACTGCTGGAGAAGCATTCCACTGTTTCATTCCAGCCCCGGCAGAATTCCGCGAGGAACTCCACAGCTTTAGACTAGTGTTTGGTGGAACTCTTAAATGCGCAGTGTTGTTACACGCTGTTCGTAACGCATCTGAGCACTTGAATAAATGGCCTTGGTCAGATCCGACTGCAAAGGCAGCTGAACAAGACGCAGTACCAGGATAAGCAGCTTCAGTCCCCTGCAGTTTTACGGCTTGCCGAGAAGGATAAACATTTGCAGCTTTGTTAACGTTCTGTACTTTCTTTTCATTGACGTAAGGGTGNTATAAACTAGACGCACCAAGCTCAAGCCTTCGGTTACTTTGCCATTTTGTCCTTGGCGTTGATTTCTGCTCTCGATGTCGCTGTTTGCTGCAAAATTCTTCAAGTCTCTTGAATTTGACTTGGAAAATATTATGTGTGGATTGTGAAGAAATGGTGCGCCTTCTTCACCTTTGAGATAAGCAATAAATGCAGGCTCCGTATACGGCAGCTCCACCATGCTGTCTCCATAAATATTGTGATAGTCCTCCGACACGCGTTGGATGTAGGTGTAAGTTTTTTCAGGTACAAACAACAACGCGTGCGCCACGGAACGGACAAAAACAAGAAAGTGATGGCGGAATTTGCTCTTTCTCTTTAGTTCTTTTGAAGCTGAAGCATGATTGCAACAGCACGGACCGGCCACTGAGTCCTCGCCTTTTATGTACGCTATAAATGCAGGATCCACATCCTTCTCGACCGCCGTGCTATCAAAGTAAATATCATTGAACCTCTCCCACTCGCTTTTAATGTAAGCGTAAACTTTCCACACCAAAGAAATCACCGCATTCGACAACCAAATCGCAACAAACGGAATGAAGAGACAAATGATAATGAACAAATCACGAAGTACAGGCCTTCCGCGCTTCAGTTTTGAATCCATCTGTCTCGACCTCTGAAAATTTTTTTTCTCTGAGCGCGTTTGTGACGATTTCATTTTTGTCTGTTTCGTTGTTCGTATTTGCGCGTGCAGTTATGCGCGCGAGCCGAGGCGCGCGCGCTGATTCAAGTACAGAGGGTTTTCTTTTACTTTTGAATGAAAAAGCTCCGCGGAAAAGATAGAAAGCAAAGGATATTTCTCCCATAATAATATATGCGAGAATTCTTTTATTTCTACGGGCCCCATGCGATTACCTATACAATTTTCCCGACGATGGAAATGTAGGGAGCTTA